CCCCCCACCCTGATTCGCGTGGATCTTTCCAGCCCGAACCCCAGTGCGCGGCCGCAACTACTCGGTCTCCTCTCGGGCTGTGGTCCTGCGCATGAGCGAGGCCTCCGGTCCCGAGAGCGAAGCCAGACTAGAGGCGCTCTGGGCCCTCCAGAAGGCCCCGGGCCTCGTGCAGGATCATCCCGCTGCTTTTTACGGCCCAGCTCCCAGCTTCGGACGGAGCCAGCCCAGGGACGGAGCAAGTCAGGCCTCAGAGAAGCGCAGGGACGCGGAGAGGCTCGAGGATAGGACCCCCTACTTCTCGGAGTCCACGCGGACCGCCCCTGCGAGCCCCGTGGCGCCGGCGAACACGTGGAAAAGCGGATCAGTGTGAGGAGCCGGGGTTCCGGGGTCGCACTGCGCATGCCCCGCAGTCTTAACCGAGGTAGGCGGTGGTTCTCGGCCGCGCGCCGCGCGCGCCGGTAATTGATGATTGTCCTCCTGCTCCGGGGAGACGAGGGGCGCGGCTGCCCACTGGCGGCGCGGTAGTACCCCCAGGCGGAGGGGAGGCCAGACCGATGAGACCACTGCTTCTCCGCGACCTGTAGAGGCTTCTCAGAGAGACCAGTCTGGGCTCGTTCCGAGCCCCCCGGACCGCTTGCGGGGAACCGAACCTGCGTGCGGGACCGGGCCGTGGGACCGCGAGGCCACGAAGAGGTGAGTCCTGCAGTCCGGGGGATAGGGGGGCCGTGAGGAGGGGAGCCCCGCAGGATGGGCAGACGGGGGGGTTGGTTCAGCGGAGATGGGGTCCTGCGGGCCGGGCAAGGGAGCTGCAGAAGGGGGACGCCAGCGGGGAGCCCGACGCAGGCGCCCACTCGCCTGAAGCCGGACTTCTCAGTTTGGGGTGCCCAGGCGGACTTAGAGGTCCAAGGGAGGACTTTTCGAGGAGACGATCTGTACTTTTCATCCCATTTTCGAAGGTGCGCTGGCGTGTTCATTAATAATAAGCCCTTAGAAGCAAAGCTTTGTGCCCTCATTTTCTCGCCCTTTTCTTCAAGAGGCCCTTTCCTTCCGCCGCCTTTTTTCCTCCAACGCACGCCCACTTGCGGGAAGGAGATCCGCGGACGGGTCCGCGACCCCCCTCAGCATCCTCCTCGGAGAAGGACTCGGAGCTGCTTGGAGCTGTCCCCTGTGTTTGTCTCCTCTTACCCTGCTCTTGGTCTTTCTCCTGGGGATGATTTCTAAATAGATCTCTTTTGTCTTTTAAAATAGTTACCAAAACTTCAGGCCCCAAAGAGTCCTCTCTAGTCCTGCATTCGTTATATACCGTACCTCTATTTCCCGCTGCTCCCAGTATGATAAGCCGCATTTGTACAACATATAAGTTTAATCAGCCTTTCCACACGTGTTGTTCTCGTTCACCCTGAAAAATAGGTATTGCCCGCTTTTTAGATGAGGTGATGAAATGTGAGAGCCCGGTCCCAGGAAGAGCCGGTAGTAGAGCTAGGTTGCCCAACCTCTGCTGCTTTTGCTGGAGACATGTGCTTGACCACCATCACCATCCACAGTTGCAACTGGACATCTGCGGGGTCCTGAGCCATCTTGTCTATCCGCTCATCTGACTATAATTTCCTCTGCTTAACTGAATTCTGCTTTTGAAGCCCCAATTCGGTTCCTGACTCCTCTTTGGGCATAGGCTTTTGGTTCCAGACTCCATTGTGTGGATGAGTAATTCTGTAATAAAAATTTTCACTGGTTTATAGCAATGTAAGAACGATATAGTGAGTTTTTCCTGAAGTTCACGGTACTTCGAGAACTCTTACTGTATAGTCTTACAGAAGAATAAGGTACATTCATGTGCGTTGGCAGACAGTATATCTGACTCATTCTCGAGTGGAAAAAAAAAGATTCCATTTGTATGTTTAAAGTACACGGCTATTTGAGTATGCATAAAAAAGATCCTGAGGGATCACATGAAACTGGCAAAATTGAGCACCTTTGAGGATTGGGATGGGGGAGAGAGACCTTAAGTGGAACTTGTATATGAAGAGAGTGTATTTATTAGTATTTTAAAAGTTTTTCAGATAGGATTTCATTCTGTCACCTAGGCTGAAGTACAGTGGCAGGATCGTGGCTCACTATAGCCTCGACCTCCTGGGCTCAAGCAATCCTGCCTCAGCCTTCTGAGTAGTTGGGACTATAGTTGTGCACCACCACACCTGGCTAATTTTTTGACTTTTTGTAGAGATGAGTTCTCAATATGTTGCCCAAACTTCTTAAAAAGTTTTTAAAGCCGAGCTCGGTGGCTCAGCCTGTAATCCCGTGCCTTTGGGAGGCTGAGGTGAGTGGATTGCCTGAGCCCGCGTGTTCGAGACCCGCCTGGGCAGCGAGACCTCATCTCTACAATAAATCAAAAAATCAGCCGGGCATGGTAGCGCACGTCTGTAATTCCAGCTACTCGGAAGGCTGAGGCGGAAGGATCGCCAGAGCCCAGCGGATGGAGGCTGTGGTGGCCGGGAGTGGCCGCTGCACTCCAGTCTGGGCGACAGAGTGAGACTCCAACTCAAAAAAAAGTTTTTAAATGTGAATTCTGAGATTATCATTTCTACTTTTTTTGGTGTTAAAAGATTGTTTTTATGAAATGATGGTGATGGCGGATAGTTAGGTTTGGTTTTGTCTTGAATCATTGTTCTCAACACAATAAGTTGCCAGGATAGCTGTGGCCACATGGATCTATCCTGTCTCTGAATTACTGTTGTTTTTACAGTACTAATCACAGTCTCTGAGCACTCAGCTGTTCTCTGGTTGTTTCAAGTAATGCAGGGATAGAACCTAGGACTCTAGCAGAGTAACTGGCCCCACACTGGTACTACAGTGATGCTATGGAAACGTTAATTATTTGATAGACATCATTTTTAGCATAGATGAACTAAAATTGTTTTAGAAGTGGGTCAATAATTTTTTTCCCTATCTTTTCTAGGAAGGTGCAATGGCGAAGAATTTATCTGTAATCTTGATCCTGACCTTTGCCCTTTCAGTCACAAATCCCCTTCATGAACTAGAACCTGCAGCTGCTTTCCCTCAGACTACTGAGAAAATTAGTCCAAATTGGGAATCTGGCATTAACGTTGACTTGGCGATTACCACACAGCGACATCATCTACAACAGCTTTTCTATCGCTATGGAGAAAATAATTCCTTGTCAGTTGAAGGGTTCAGAAAATTGCTTCAAAGTATAGGCATAGATAAGATTAAAAGAATCCACATACACCATGACCACGAGCACCACTCCGACCATGAGCACCACTCCGACCATGAGCATCACTCCGACCACGAGCACCACTCTGACCATGAGCACCACTCCGACCACGAGCACCACTCTGACCACGAGCACCACTCCGACCACGAGCACCACTCTGACCACGAGCACCACTCCGACCATGAGCATCACTCCGACCACGAGCATCACTCTGACCATGACCGTCACTCTGACCATGACCGTCACTCTCACCGCAATCATGCTGCTTCCAGTAAAAATAATCGGAAAGCTCTGTGCCCAGACCATGACTCCGATAACACTCGTAAAGAGCCTAGAAACAGCCAGGGGAAGGGATCTCACCGACCAGAACATGCTAGTGGTAGAAGGAATGTCAAGGAGGGCTTTAGTACTAGTGAAGTGACCTCCACTGTATATAATGCTGTCTCTGAAGGCACTCACTTTCTAGAAACAATAGAGACTCCAAAATCTGGAAAGCTCCCCAAAGATGTAAGCAGTTCCACTCCACCCAGTGTCATGGAAAAGAGCCGCATGAGCCGACTGGCCAGTAGGAAAGCAAATGAATCTGTGAATGAGCCCCGAAAGGGCTTTATGTATTCTAGAAACTCAAATGAAAATCCTCAGGAGGTAAGAGAAGTGCTTTTCATTACTTTAATGTACTTGCATGTCCTGTTGTGACCACTCTCTCTTTAGTTATAAGGTGCTTAAGGTAAAAATAAAACATTGAAGCCGGGCTCGGTGGCTCAGCCTGTAATCCCACGCCTTTGGGAGGCTGAGGTGAGTGGATTGCCTGAGCCCGCGGGTTCGAGACCCGCCTGGGCAGCGAGACCTCATCTCTACAATAAATCAAAAAATCAGCCGGGCATGGTAGCACATGCCTGTCATTCAAGCTACTTGGAAGTCTGAGGCGGAAGCATCGCCAGAGCCCAAGAGGTCGAGGCTGTGGTGGCTGGGAACATGCTACTATACTCCAGCCTGGATGATAGAGGGAGACTCCAACTCAAAAAAAAATAAATAAATAAAATACTTTACAGAAGGTAAGAAACAGTTACTGAAGCCATATTTTTTTCATGGGGGGGTTAGATTGCATAGGAGAATTTCTTCAAACTTAAGCTTGTCATCCAATTAAATTGGTGAAAACATCTGCCTGCTAGTACAGGTTTGTTTTATTAACTAGCCTTGCCCTTTGCAAGAGTAATCTGCATAATTTAATATTCTCTCATAGTAGAGCATTATTTGCTAGGTATGTAGACAAGAACTGAGCTAAGTTTTTGGAAGTAAGGTCATTACTGGAAGAGCGACATGTCTTGGACTTGTTTAGGCTAAGGAGAACAGTGTTAGTACTAAAGCAACATATTTCTCAATCTCTAATGAACCCCATCCTGGAATTAAAGCTCATTTCCTTAATGGGTTTACAATGAGTTAACAGGCTTGTGAATCTCCATTTATCCTCAAGCTTGTTCCATTTGAGGCTTTCTCCTTAGGTTACTGATGATGTAACTGCTTCTCCCAAGAAGCAGTCTGAAGATGTAGATAACACCATGATGACATAGTATCTCCAGGTAGCTGGAAGGAAATTCCAAAGTACTTAGAACAAAAATTGGGTTTAATTTGTGTTAACTTGAAAAAATAAAGACATCCTTTTAAGTCAGGAAAGGTTATTGTGTCTTCAAACTGCTGTTTTGGGTTCTCAGATGGGAATGCCTTGGTGACTTTCACTACTTTATTTGTTTTCACTTATTTCTTTCAGTGTTTCAATGCGTCCAAGCTACTTATGTCTCACGGCATGGGCATCCATGTGCCACTGAATGCAACAGAGTTCAGCTACCTCTGTCCAGCCATCATCAATCAAATTGATGCTAGATCCTGTCTGATTCATACAACAAGTGAAAAGAAGGCTGAGATCCCTCCAAAGACCTATTCTTTGCAAATAGGTAGGATTGCCTTTTTATGTAAAAATAATTCCCAGTAGATAATATTTATGTTGTACTTTTCTTTTTTTCTTTTTTAATTTTTAATTTATTTATTTATCTATTTATTTTCAGTTGGAGTTTCACTCTGTCGCCCAGACTGGAGTGCAGTGGCCACTCCCGGCCACCGCAGCCTCCACCCACTGGGCTCCGGCGATCCTGCCGCCTCAGCCTTCTGAGTAGCCGGAATTACAGGCACGCACTACCACGCCCAGCTGATTTTTGATTTATTGTAGAGATGAGGTCTCGCCAAGTTGCCCAAGCAGGTCTCGAACCGTGGGCTCAGGTGTACTTTTTTTTAGAGTCACATGAACCTATTTGTTTTTCAACATAATTCCAAATTTTTCAGCATGATTCCAAAACATCATCTTTGTTGTCCTGTGCTCTGATGTGAAGAAAGTAAGGAAGGGCGTTAGACCCACCCTTAAAAAAAATTTTTTTTTAACTAAAAAAAAAAACTAGAAAATAAAGCTTATTTTATGGCTTGTCTGAGGTCATCCCACAGGACATGTCAGGATCATCTGAAATGTGGGGTTTTTATATCATGTCACACTATTTGGAAAGAGAGTCAGAGTTCATCTCTGCTGCTTAGGAGCCTAATTCTGGTATATTCTTATTGATAAGTGAAACTAGGATAAAAGTCTGCTATAGAGTATGGCCACATTGCTCAAAAGCTGTAACAAGCTGGCCAATGCCTGTCATCCCAGCACTTTGGGAGGCAGAGGTGAGAGGTTTGCCTGAGCCCAGGATTTCGAGAACAGCCTGGACAACTGGCGAGACCTCGTCTCTACAATCAGAAAACTTAGTCGGTCACAGTGGCTCACACCTATAATCTCAGCACTTGGGAAGGCTGAGGAGGGAAGAGATTGAGGCCAAGAGTTCAGGACTAACCTCAGCAACATAGCAAGACCTCATTCCTACAAAAATAAAAAAATTAGCTGGGTGTGGTGTTGTGCACCTGTAGTCCCTGCTACTTGAGGGGTTGAAGTGGAAGGATTGTTTAAACCCAGCAGTTTCAGGCCGCAGTGAGCTGTAATCATGCCACTGCACTCCAGCCTGGGCAACCAGGCTGGGAAGAAGAAGAAAAAAAAAAAGCTATAGCAAGGAAGAAATAATTGCTTTACTTACTAGGGAAGTTATTGAGTTCCCGGGTTCCTTCTCTTTCTCCATTATTTTGTTTTGTTTATTTGTTTTTTTTTTTTTAATTTTTAATTTTAAAGATGTGGGGTCCAATTCAGGGTAGCAGATACCCTTGTTGATGAGGTGTGCCCCCTATCCCCTGGCAGTTTCCCTCAACTGCCCATCCCACCCCTCCTTCCCTGACAGTTTTCCAATACTGCCAATCGCTTTCTTATTGCATCATTATTGTTCAAGGTCACCTTGTGAGTGAGAACATATGAAACTCAGTTCTTTGTTTCTGTGATAAATCACTGAGTATGATCGACTCCAAATCCATCCAAGTTGCTGCAAAGTCCATATATTTGTCCTTCTTTATGGCTGCATAACATTCCATTGTGTATATGTACCACATTTTTTTTTTTATCCAGTCTAGCTTCTATGGGCAGCACGGTTAATTCCATGTTTTTGCTACTGTGAATGGTGCTGCAATAAGCATACATGTGCAGGCATCTTTTTTGTAGAATGATTTGGGTTCCTCTGGGTATATTCCCAATAGGGGGATTGCTGGGTCATATAGAAGGTCAATATTCCTTTGTTTTTTGTTTTTGTTTTTGTTTTTGTTTTTTGAGTTGGAGTCTCACTCTGTCGCCCAGACTGGAGTGCAGTGGCCGCTCCTGGCCACCGCAGCCTCGACCTGCTGGGCTCCGGCGATCCTTCCACCTCAGCCTTCCAAGTAGCCGGAATTACAGGCATACGCTACCATGCCCAGCTGATTTTTTTGATTTATTGTAGAGATGAGGTCTCGCTGCCCAGGCGGGTCTCAAACGCGCGGCCTCAGGCAATCCACTCACCTCAGCCTCCCAAAGGCGCAAGATTAAAAACTTGTCTCTCTTTTATAATTTAGCTGTTATGGGAGTTTGAAAGCTCATCTTCTAAGTGTGCTAGAGTTCATCCTTAATAACTGTTTTTTTTCCCTCTTTCACTTACATCTGAAGAATTCCCCACCAGGCTTATGCTCCTTACCCATAGAGCTCTTAAGTACCAGTCCAGCTGTTCATCTGAGGCAGCAACAGGTTTCTTGGTTATTGCACTACGGCATGGCTATGGTATTTTTTAAAGTTTGTTAATTGTGTGATTTTCCTTTGTTTTGTTTGACAGCCTGGGTTGGTGGCTTTATAGCCATTTCCATCATCAGTTTCCTGTCTTTGCTGGGTGTTATTTTAGTACCTCTCATGAATCGGGTGTTTTTCAAATTTCTCCTAAGTTTCCTTGTGGCGTTGGCCGTTGGGACTTTGAGTGGTGATGCTTTTTTACATCTTCTTCCCCATGTAAGTACAATAATTTGTCCTACTATGGTTTTATTATTCAACATTGAAAAATATGTGTTTTTTGGTTTGCACTATTCTTTGTATTGATTTATATGCAGAATTAGAAATTTGATTTATATGAAGAATTAGGAATTTGGTTTAGAGAAGTTTATTTTAAAATATATTTGGAACTGAAAGCTGTATTTTTTTCCTAGATCTTTTTTTTTTGTTTTTTTTTTTGGAGTAAGAGTCCCATTCTGTTGCCCAGGCTGGAGTACAGTGACACAACACACTCACAGCCACCCGCAGCCTCGACCTGCTGGGTTCAAGTGATCCTTCCACCTCAACCTTCCAAGTAGCTGGAACCACAGGTGTATGCCACCACACCTGGCTAATTTTTTTATTTATTGTAGAGACAGGGTCTCACCAAGTTGCCCAGGCTGGGCTCAAACCCTTGAATTCAGACAATCCTCTCGCCTCTGCCTCCCAAAGTGTTGGGTTACAGACATGAGCCACCACACCCTGCTTGTCCTAGATCTTAAAACACGTTTTCTTTTTTGAGGTTTTGTTTTTGTTTTTGTTTTTTTGTTTTTCTTTTTAAGGAAATATACTAATACAGAATGATTTACCTTTTTGAAACCCACTTAATAAAAACAGACAAATTCTACTCAGATGTTAATACTGTGACAGACTGCAACAGCATGAATTATCTACTTACTTGTTAGCTTAACTGCTACCAAAATAAAATATGTGACTCTTTATGTGCCCAGGAAAATTAGAGATTTTTTCAGAGTTGAATTCATGAATATATTTAGAGATTTTCATTTCATAACACATAAAACAAGTTTGGTAAAGTGAAGTTACTTTTCCATTAAATACTTGGGATTGGGCCAGGTGCGGTGGCTCAAGCCTATAATCCTAACACTTTGGGATGCTGAGGCGAGAGGATTGCCTGAGCCCAGGGGTTCAAGAGTAACCTGGGTAACTTGGCAAGATCGTCTCTACAATAAATAAGAAAATTAGCCGAGCGTTATGGTGCATGCCTGTAGTTCCAGCTTATTTGGAAGGCTGAGGCGGAAGAATTGCCTGAACCCAGTAGGTCGAGGCTGCAGTAGCCGTGAACATGCCACTGCATTCCAGCCTGGGTGACAGAGTGAGACTCCAACTAAAAAAAAAAAAAAAATTACTTGGGATTGGTGCTCAAGCAGAAAATATGTGGGTCTCATTTTTAAAATTCCCTTTAGAGGTTTTCAGGAAGATAGGAAAAGGAAATCACTGCATTCCCAGAGCACTACATATCTGTTTCCAATGCAGCAGTGAAAGAAATGATTTTGCTGTGGCTGGCTGTCACCACCAGATGGCAGATACTCAGGAATACCTGCTGCACAAAGTGACGTGCTGGGGGTGGACCCTGTGGTTCTTGGTCTCGCCTCTGTGTTTGTTCCTTGCCCAGTTCCCTAACATGCAATAGGAGCAGTCACCACTGCAGGCTACTGTTGCGTCTAGGGTACCCACTAGGGCCCATCACTATACAGACTAAGCTTCTTACAGGACATGGACTTTTCAGCTCAGAACATAAGCAGTAGGTACTGTGTGCCCACTAAGTCTAGAGAGTCCCCTGTTATTTGTGGCCATGGTAATTTGTCAAACATTGAAAATGCTCACTCCCTGTACATCATGAGGGTCAGTGGGGAATGTTTTTGTCTTTACACCAAACAGACTCATTTTATTAAATGCCCTAGTACATTATATATATTAAGTTCTAATCCGGGGACAGTGGCTCACACCTGTAATCCCAGTACTTTGCAAGGTAGAGGCGAGAGGATTGCCTGAACTCAGGGGTTGAGACCAGCCTGGGCAACTTGGCAAGACCTCATTTCTAAAATACATCAAAAAATTAGCCTGGTGTGGTGGCTCGTGCCTGTAGTTCCAGCTGCTTGGAAGACTGAGCTGGCCTAAGCCCAGCAGGGGGAGGCTGCGGTGGTTGTGAGCGTGCCACTGTACTCCAGCCTGAGCAACAACGTGAGACTCCAACTAAAAAAAGTTCTGCCGGGTTTGGTGGCTCAGCCTGTGATCCCGCGCTTTGGGAGGCTGAAGTGGATTGCCTGAGCTCGTGGATTTGTGACCTGCCGGGCAACTTGGCGAGACCTCATCTCTACAATAAAATTTTTAAAAATCAGCTGGGCATAGTAGCATGTGCCTGTAATTCCGGCTACTCAGAAGGCTGAGGTGGAAGGATCACTGGAGCCCAGCAGGTCGAGGCTGCAGTGGCTGGGAACGGCCACTGCACTCCAGTCTGGGCAACAGTGAGACTCCAGCTCAAAAAAAAAATAAAAGTTCTAAATAGCTAGCTGCTCATTCATTGGTCACTTTATTTGTAGTGTTCTAAACTTTCCTCATCTCTGAAATACCTACATAATTGCCTAATTCTGAATGATTTCAAATTTGACCTATCTTGACCAACTTTTCTGAGGTGTCGTATGACTAATGACTGAATAAATTGCATATCATTTTGCCTTTAGTCTCATGCGAGTCACCAACATAGTCATAGCCATGAAGAACCAGCAATGGAAATGAAAAGAGGACCACTATTCAGCCATCTCGCCTCTCAAAACATAGAAGAAAGCACCTATTTTGATTCCACATGGAAGGGTCTGACAGCTCTAGGAGGCCTGTATTTCATGTTTCTTGTTGAACACGTCCTCACATTGATCAAACAATTTAAAGATAAGAAGAAAAAGGTAAGAGTATATATACTGAGTGCTTACTGTGCGTCAGACATGTATTTATAGTATGGTATAACTAGATTGTTAGAACAGCGTGACCAAGTTGAATGATCTTTATTTGCGAGGCAGTACGGGGTTCAGTATCCTTGAAGTACTTATTGGTCCCAGGGGCGTTCATGAGGAATATTTCTATATCTTAATAACTCCAGAGGCTGGGTTCGGTGGCTCAGCCTGCAATCCCAGCACTTTGGGAGGCTGAGGTGAGTGGATTGCCTGAGCCCACGGATTCGAGACCAGCCCGGACAACTTGGCAAGACCTTGTCTCTACAATAAATTTAAAAATTAGCCAGGCTTGGTAGCGCACACATGTAGTTCTTGCTACTTGTAAGGTTGAGGCGGAAGGATCGCCGGCGCCCAGCAGGTCAACACCGGGTGACTATGAGCGTGCCCGCCACTGCACTCCAGCCTGGGCAATAGAGTGAGACTCCAACTCTAAATAAATAAATAAATAAAAATAACTCCAGAGTTTTGTTTTGTTTTTTCTTTTGAGTAGGATCTCACTCAGTCTGTCACCCAAGCTGGAGGGCAGTGGCATGATTATGGCTCACTGCAGCCTTGACCTTCTGAACTCAGGTTATCCTTCCGCCTTAGCCTCCCAAGTAGCTGGAATTACAGTGCTCGCCATCACACCAGCTAATTTTTTTATTTTTTATAGAGATGAGGTCTTGCCATGTTGCCCTGGCTGATCTTGAACTCCTGGACTCAAGCAGTCCTCCCACTTCAGCCTCCCAGAGTGCTGGGATTACAGGCATGAGCCACTGTGCCCAGCCAACTCTGGAGTTTTCTAACTTCGCTATTTTCTTTTTCTTTTTTTTTTTTTGAGTTTGGAGTCTCACTCTGTCGCCCAGACTGGAGTGCAGTGTCTGCTCCCAGCCACCGCAAACTCGACTGCTGGGTTCCGGCGATCCTTCCGCCTCAGCCTTCCAAGTAGCTGGAACTATAGGCACGCACTACCACGCCCGGCTGATTTTTAATTTATTGTAGAGATGAGGTCTCACCAAGTTGCCCAGGCGGGTCTTAAACCTGCGGACTCAGGCAATCCACTCACCTCAGCCTCCCAAGGCGCAGGATTACAGGCTGAGCCACCGAGCCCGACTCTAACTTCGCTATTACTCGAAACTCATGAGAGGATAAGAAAAACAAGAATAAACATCTATGTAAACGACCAAACAATGTACAAGTAGGGCCTTGAAGATCAGAAACAACATGGAGGCCGGACTCGGTGGCTCAGCCTGTAATCCCAGCACTTTGGGAGGCCGAGGCGAAAGGATTGCCTGAGCCCACAGGTTCAAGACCCACCCAGGCAACTTGGTGAGACCTCGTCTCTATAATTAATAAAAAAAAAAACTAGCTGGGCGTGGTAGCACGCGCCTGTAGTTCCAGCTCCTTGGAAGGCTGAGGTGGAAGGATCACTGGAATCCAGCAGGTAGAGGCTGCGTTGGCCGGGAGCAGCCACTGCACTCCAGCCTGGGTGACAGAGTGAGACTCTGACTCAAAAAAAAGAAAAGAAACAACATGGATATATCATCAGTTTTTATTGGTGGTTATGATTATCTAATGCGATTAATTTTAAATTATTCACCTATGGCTGAATATTCTGTTTTGTTTCAAAGGATATGTGATCTTCTCAGGCTTGCCCTTTGCAAACTGGATTAGAAAATAGTATGAAGTCAAACAGAGGCCTCTTATTTCTGGTTTAAAAAAAATACCTGAGTCGCCTGTGTTTATCTGCCTCTTATGTGATCAGGCATGTCAGTAAGAAGTCTGTCAAGAGACTCTTAAAAATAATGGGTTAGCCAGACTCGGTGACTCAGCCTATAATCTCGTGCCTTTGGGAGGCTGAGGTGAGTGGATTGCCTGAGCCCGCGGGTCCAAGACCCACCTGGACAACTTGGTGAGACCTCATCTCTACAATAAATCAAAAAATTAGCCGGGTGTGGTAGCGCATGCCTGTAGTTCCAACTACTTGGAAGGCTGAGGCGGAAGGATTGCTGGAGCCCAGCAG